CCCCAAAACCCCAAAACCCCAAAACCCCTAAGATTTCGACAAAATTGAAAATATGGAAAAATGTTGGCAAAATTATTTTACAGGATTAAATCCTTTTCTGGTGCGTAATTTCCTAGTCATTTCATTATCAGGCATTTTCTGCTCATGATCAATTCTCTCTTCAGCGTTGTCCTGGCTAGGCTTCTTGGAGCGAAGATTTCTTGTTGATTTTTTACGAGTTTGCGAACCAGATTTTGATCTTGTCTGACGCTTTGAGGCAGGTTGTGGTTTAGCCTTTTTGCCCTTTTGACCCTTTGTAGTGGGTTTAGAGGTTTTTGAAGCTGTTTTGGAGGTTTGGGGCTTGTTTTTGGACTTAGAGGTGGGTTTTTCGTTTTCTGATTTTGAGGATGAGGATTGTGAGGAAGAACTTGATGATGAACTTGAGGAGCTTGATCTAGACTTAGAGTTTGAAGCGGATCTTTCAGATCCCTTTTTAGCCTTCTTTGCCTTAGATTCTACCAAATCTCCTAATCTTCCTTGTACCAATTTCTTATTACCAAATTTAAACTTTTTTGATTTCTCTTTCTTCTTAGGAGGTGTCTTCTTTTTCTCTAATTTTTTTGGAGACTCTTCTTCTGAAACTTCTTTCTCAGCATTTTTCTTATCCTCCTTCTGAGGCTCAACCTCCTTCTCTTTTGTCTTTTGAAGTGATTTAGAAAGACTTCCTTTGGGGATCTTAGAAATAGAAGTCTTAGTGATTTTCTTCTTATTCAAAAATTCTTCTTGGTTCTTTCTCTCATTTTCTTCTTTAAGTGCTTGCTCTTCTTCTCTCTTTTGTTTTTTGAGCTCGATTTTTCTTCTAAAATCTTCGAGGATATCAGGTTTCTTCTCCATTTGTTTTACGTCAAAGACTCTTTTGCTACCTCTGGACTCCTCATAGCCATCGCCAACATAGAGGTTTTCGCCGTCTTCGCTCTTGATGTGGGTATTAAGAGTGCTGTAGTCGTAATCTTCAAGCTTGACTTCCCTGTAGGGCTGATTGCCTCTTCTCCGCATTTCTTCACGACTATACTCTCTGATTTCTTCAAGTCGTTCTTTGTTAGGACAGTTGGTGCTGATGAAGACTCTGTTACCCTTCTTGCGACCAACAAAGGACTTTCCGTCGGAGGTTGTACGGGTTTTGTCCCTGACATAGACATTACCATGCTCATCGTAGTACTTCTCAATCCAGCTGTTTTGCTTATAATCCTTGACTGCCTTCTTGTACTCTTCCTCTGACTTGAAGTCTTTTGGGTTTGGTGCTTCTAGTTTTTCCATTCTTTTGAGACGCTCAAGTTTAACTCTTTGTAAAACTTCAATGTTCTTTTTGGAGTCTACAAAATCATCACTTTCTCAGTCACTAGATCTGTCACTGTAATATCTTTCTTCAATCTCGTCGTCTTCATTGTCTCCTGTGTCAATGAAGAATATCTTTCTGCGAGGATTGTTGGTGCTATCAGGTTGGTTTTCAAAATCAAATTCAGGATCTTGTACTTCAAGCTTGATGTTTGAGAATTCCTTTGGGTCACATTTCTCTTTCAGTGACTCATAAATCATCTTGTAATGCTTCTCTTCCTCTCTTAGGGCTTGAATGAAGCTGGCAAGCCTGGGTTTCGACCCGATCTTCTTATGGATTCTGAGGTAAATCTCTTCAAGGATAGAGTTATATACCATCACTACCGATCCATATTTGAGAGCATCTGTGTTGTCAACTACAAAGGCTTTTAAGCTCTCAAAGAATTCGTCAAACTCTGGACCAGATTCGCTATGCATTCTATCAATCTGGTGTATTAGGGTATCCTTGGCGGTATAGGTCCTGAACAGAGCCAAGTTCAAGGCTTCCAATATTGTTGGGATCTTCTCGGCAGTAGCTTCTGTAGACATTACTCCCATCGTCTTTAGCTTAAAATAAAGGGACTTCTTGAAGCTGTAGAAGTCAATATATGTCAGTGCATTTGGGTACACTTCGCTTAAAGCACTCTTCAGGTTTGAGTCTAGGTCAATCACTAAAATATGCGGGTAAACTGAGTTATGTATCTTAAGGTGATTGAACAGAGACCTGTAGCTATCCTTTGACCTTGAGGTCATCATTCAATAACCTACTGGGTGAGATTTGTTCGTGTCAGTGTCGAAAGCACAGATCGTCAAGAATTGGTAGAATCATTTAGGCACACTCTGGTATGTGCTATCTACAAATAACTGTTTTCATTGAGCCATTAGAGTTAATTGGGAAGTGCTTGCCCAGAAGATATTCTGCTGTTTATTTCCTCTATCGTCAGTAAAGATGTTGCAGAACCTGATAAAGTTTTCTCCAGATGTAGTTCTTCCAGCCTCATCATGGAATATCTGTTTATCATCAGCAGTCTTTGGGTTCATACTGTTTCTAACAAGTTTTACTCTTTTAACAAATTGCTTTTTGTCAGGTGGATAGATATGCTTTCTTTCAAGTGCAGAGAACTCTCTTGCCTTTCTTGAAATACGATCCCAGATGTTCCCAGCACTCTCAAGAGAATCTTTAGATTGTTCTAGCTCAGAATCAACTACGATGTCGAACTTCCTTTGAGCTTCAGTAGATGAGAAAGTTCTTGGTTTTTTCAGCTCTTTTCAGTGTTCATAGTGGTCTTTGAGGATTTTAGGAGACATTCTTGAGTCTTTCAAGTGAAATTTGAGACTTCCGTTACAGTTGTAATCTCTGCACCTGTAGTTCATGAACTGCTTGTCCTTGCCAGTGTAGGTGTTGAAGTAGTATTCAGCTCCGTTGTAGTAGAAGATTCTAGGTGGCTTGTTTGGGAAATCTGTCTTGTTGTACTTTCCTCTTTTTTGAGCTATATATTCTTGCTTAGTCAAAACATGTTCGTCGTAGACAGCCTGAGGTCCAGGACTGTGACCTTCATAGCTCTTTGGGACTGACTGTTGATTGTTATATGATTTGTTCATACTGTCTTCCTGAGCTGCCAACTCTGGATTAGGGTTCTCTCTATATTGCTGGGTCTTTGTCGGATAGCCCTGAACTTGATAGTTTTGAGCATTTTGTATCTGCCTCTGAATGTCTGGAGGTTGAGTTGGCATTCCTCTATTATCAAAGCCTTGCGGAGGATAGTACTGATACTGTTGTACAGGATACCCATTCATCTGTTTTGCTCCTTCCTTCATGCCTTGACCCTCCATATGTGCCATATTGAAGCCTTCTTGTGGCATTCCTGGATTTATTTTGCGCATCATCTCTTGATTATCCATCATCTGGGGATTAAAATTTGGATTATACACCGAATAATCCTGCGGCTGATTGTATCCATATCTATCTTGCTGCATGAAGTTGCTTTTGTTATTATAGCAGTACTGGCCTCCTCCATGGGAGCCCTGGCCATCGTGTATATTACTCATTTTTGTTCAATGAACTCCACTAAAAATGGGGTTTTGGGGTTTTGGGGTTTTGGGG